GATAATACTTAAAGCTTAATGTTCTATAAAGTTAACCCACCTGGGAAAGTTCTAGGTTTTTGCCTAGAGACCTCCAATTACAGCTTGCCTGTGATACAAGACTGGCTGATGCTGGGGTAGATTTCAGTGTTGAGACCCAGTTGGGATGCTGTCTCTCTCACTCATTAAATACATAAATAAACATTTAAAAAAAAATAGCAAGATAATTTATTAGGCTTGTCACTACTCAAATAAGTACCAAATTTCTTGGTCTGTTTTATAATTAGCTTTAGTCTGATATGTTAGCTTAAATTTGATAGACTTATATATGGTCAATGAAATATAACAGAAAGTCATTTATGTAACCTTTAGGAAGCATTTTTCAAGGGAAGAGAATGTTCTTTTCCTCCTTATTTAAAAGGTCCTTTTCTGACTCCCACCACAAGAGCACTGAGCTTTCCTTATTTCAGCTAAATTTCTTTCTGCCTGTTATTTATAACTTTCTATTTAGTAAAGATTGTGTTGGATTCTGAGCATATTCTGAAATAGTACCATCCCTAAGGTTGGAGAATATAAATTCAGGCAGCCTTATGGGCTTTCATTTTATTCCCTACCCAATCTTCTGTCTAGTTTAGTAAATCTCATCTTTCCATACTTACTAATGAGCACACAAAGTCAAACAGAATTTTTAAATAACCTTAAGTTAATATTGATTAGGTCTATCATTTCTGTTTTATTTTGTTTTTGTTTTTGTTTTTGTCTTTATTTTTTTGAGCCCTGTCTTTCTTTGTAAGAGATTACTTGTTTGGGCAGGAGTTATTATTGTACCACATTGACCCTTCTATTTTTGAGGTTTGCAAATTGATTTAGCAACGATTTCTAAATGCTTTTTCCATTATATTATATTTACATAACAGACATAATTTTTATAAAGACATCATAATAAAAATGTTTTAGATTCTAAATAATAAATCTATTCCAACCAATATTTTGTACAATGTAAAACTACTACATCAAAAAATAATACGAATTATTTAGAAGTTATGACCCCATGTCTATAAATTCCATCATTCTGGTACCCCAGAGAGTTTCTCTTCAAATGTTCAGATATTAATTAAATAATTCATTTAATTCACAGGTATTAAGGACCAGGCTAGGTGCTCATGAGTCCTTGCAAATAATACTCCCTGATGTAGACTAGTGAAGGGAGTACATGTACACATGTGCACTACATGCAGAAATGGGACAGGTGCTTAATGGAGGAAAACACCAAGTTCTGAAGAGAAGCACAAAGATGCAAGCTGCTAACAATTAAGTAGTAAAGAGGACTGATTACAAAGGTTTTGAGTGAGTGTGATTTTAGAATCAGAAAAAAAATTTAGTCCTTGGCTACAAGGTGGAAATATTCCAGTCAGGGAGAGCAGCATATGCTGCTTATGAATTAATAGTGTTTGGATGTGAGCATAGCAACATTTGTTCTGAGTCAGAAGGAGGCAGAAGGTGTAGCTTACAAGGTAGACTGGTTCAGGTGTAAAGACTACATACAGGGGCAGCAGGTGGTGTAGTGGTTAAGGTGTTGGACTTCTACATGACTGACTGCAGTTTGAGTCCTGAACCTGGAGGCTTTCTCTCTCTCTCTCTCTCTCTCTCTCTCTTTGCTTTTGTTTGTTTGTTTTGGAGAGGTTTATGCTATAGGGCACATGTGCTTGCCAGAAAGACAGAGACAGAGAGACAGAAAGTGAGAAATCACCCCCCAGGGGGGATGGCCACACTGAAATCCCTTCTCCTTCATTCTCCTTTTGGGATCTTGGGCACGCATGCAAACATGCCCAGTGTAAGTTTAAACCACTGGGTCCAGGACTTGAACTGCAGTTGACTATGTGGGAGTCCAGCGACACAGCCATTACACCAACTGCTGGTCCCATCTCTCCCTCTTTCTCTCTCTCTCTCTTGCTCTCTCTCTCTCTCTCTCATGAGTTCACATGCCCTGTAGCAAATTAACAAATAATAATGATAAATAAAATTAAATAAATAATTCTTAAAAATAAAAAAAGACTACATACAAATCTTTGGTACAAGATTTATGAAGCAAATAGAATATGCTAAAAATATCATCCACTCGGGACCAGCAAATGGCATAATGATTACGTTGGTGACTTCCAAGTAGAAGACAATTGTTCGAGTCTCAGACCCAGAGGCCTAAAACTCACGCAGGGTGTGTGTGTTTGCATGTTTAAAATCCCAAGAGGAGAATGGAGGAGGAGAGATTGCAGCGTGGCCATCCCCCTTGGGGGGGTGATTTCTCATTTTCTGTCTCTCTGTCTCCTTCTGTCTCTCTGGCAAGCGCATGCACCCTATAATAAAAATCTCTCTCAAAAAAAAAAAAAATCATCCACTCAAAAAGTCCTTAAGATGACTTTGACCAAGTTTTCAGCCTTTAATCAGGACTCATGAAATTGAATTAATAAATCCATTTCATTTCAATAATTTTTTATTAACTATCTCCTCACATTCGCTGAATTCATCCCCTTCCAGGCTTGGCATTATTTTTTTTCTTACTTCTTTTTCTTTTTTGAAATAGCTATTTTTTAAAGCATTAAATGCTTCTGTCTTTCTGATGCTTCATAGTTTTAGATAATACTTGTGAAATGCATTTTCATGCAGTGCTTTTTTGGGAGTGGTGGTTAAAAATCATTTGATTCAAAGCTCTTTCCTATTGTATGCACTTCAATCCTCAGAATATAAATCCATTTTGTAATTACTCCAATATTCTCATCTCAGAAACTTTGCCTGACACACCATTCCATATGTTTATGATTCTCTGAATGAAAAAGTGTTCCCTGACAACCATTCAGATTTTTCCCTTTAATTTCCATTTATGCCTTATTGTCTTATAATGTTCGACTGAAAATATATGTTGCAATATTGTGTGACATTATCAGTATTACTTAAGATTTTATATACCCATATATCAGCCAAACATCAGATAAATCTCACTATTCTCCTTTCTGTACATCTTCCTTCCTGGAAGAGTACAGGTAATAGATTCAATTTCTTCTTCATGACAAGTTGACTTTAAGCATTTCTTACAAACTGAAGACAAGAATCAATTTGCATTTGGTTTGAATTATTTTTAAAATGTGAACTGGAAATGGAATTTGGCTTCACGTTTGTGCAATTAAAGTGATGGTGCTAACTGCAATGCTTTTTAGATGAAACTTGTTTCAGGGTTGATTTTAAAAATAGTGTAAAGCCAAGACACAAGACTAATTTGAAGGTCTTGCTAATAAATAATGTTGTTAGAAAAAAAGGGGGTATTCCGATGATTTGTAATCCTGCAATAATGGCTTCTAAATAGTTAAGATTAGTTTGAGAGATGAGAGTCTTTCCACCCTCTATGCCATATGCCAGCAGGGGACAAAAATCAATCTTGCGAGGACTCTGATTACTTCTGCTGCAAGTTTCTTGTCAGCAGATTCAAAATGTGCAGGGCTATGAATCTTCCACAAGGTAGAGGTGCTGCCCATCAGCTGGAAATCTTTTTTCCCAACTTCTGGTAGAATATCTGCTTGTGATAAATTAGGAGGAGAGGGGAAAATAGAAGACTATTTGGTGCAACAATTTTAATCCTGTGTTATCAGTACAGAGAGAAAGTGACACCAGTTCCTATGGCTTTGAAATGAAAAATGTACCCTTGGTGGAAAGAAGCTTGAAAGTTAAGGAACAAATAAAATAATGGTCTTTGTCATCTAAAAATACCATGCTGCTTAGCAAGTGATCAAGGGAGGGCCACATTAAGGACTGAGACTTGAATTAATAATTACTAACATCTAAACAAGATGTCTAGATTTGGATTTACAAGGGAATCAATAAGGAAAAAACGCTTGAAATTTGATTAGAATAAAAGACACGAGGATATGAAAATGAAAGAAACAAGAACAATGCGGTAGGCAGAATAATGGTCTCCCAAAATGTCCACATTCATAATCCCCAAAACTTAAAATACATTATCTTCCATGGTAAAAGGCACTTGGCAGATATGAGTATGTTATTCCCCTTGAGAGTTTCCTGAATTATCCAGGTGGGCCCAATATAAACACAAGTGTCCTTAAAGTGGGAGACGGAGAAGAGGTCAGAGTGATTTAATAGGAGAACTCAACTCACCTTTGCAAATTTTGAGGCTGGAGGAAGAGGGGCATAGGCCAAGGAATGCAACTCTTTTTATTTTTTTTTTAAGAGAGAGATTTTTGCTATAGGGCCCGTACGTTCGCCAGACAGACAGAGAGAGACATAGAGACAGAAAGCGAGAAATCACCCCCCAGGGGGGATGGTCACGCCGCAATCCCTTCTCCTCCATTCTCCTCTCGGGATATTGGGCACACACGCACATGCGCACAGCATGAGTTTTAAGCCACCGGGTCCGGGACGCGAACTGCGGTCAACTACGTGGGAGTCCAGCGACATAGCCATTACACTAACTGCTGGTTCCCAGGAATGCAACTCTTGAAGCTGGGAAAGGCAAGGAAATGGATCCTCCAGAAAGAAACATAAACTTGTTGAAACCTTCATTTCAGCCCAGTGAGACCCATATAAGCCTTTTGATCTGTAAGATAATAAGTGTGTGTGGTTTTAAGCCAGCCCCTGACTTTGGGTAATTTGTCAGAAAAATTATAGAAAACTAATAAAGACAAGATAAAAAAAAGATTAAGTAATAAATGCATTTTTTAAAGTATATATTACAAATTCCCATTGTTATCATTGGTTATGGAATGTTCTTATCATTGCCTGTGACTTTCAATAATTTTCAAATACATTAAAATCATGGATATCCTTTAATATAAAAATTACCCTTCTGGGAATTTACTAAAATAATGAAAGATGTGCAGAATGATTATCTACAAGGGTGTTTGTAATAGCCTAAAACTGAGAATAGCTTATATGTTCAATAGTGAGGGTTATTCGAATAAATCCTAACATAGCCTAACACAGCTTACTGTGTGGTCATTAAAAATTAGCTAAGTATATTTACGTGGCAGAGGAGTTACCATGATCATGAAGGTGGTTTTCCCAGGGCGAGGCTTTTCCACTGCACTCCGGATGTGCCAACCCCTTGATTTCCTCAAATGTGGGAAACTCAGCTGCATAACTGTGGTAGTGAGGGACTGCATTTGCATTCTCCCCTGGGGAAAAAAAAGTAAAGAAAAAACTAGCCGAATAAAATCTTATCGAAATTGGTAAAGCATTTGCAATATTTTGAAACCAGGTACAAAATATTATGTATAGTGTGCTAGTACTGGACTATAAGGTTGGATTACTGATATATGTTATTATGCTGATTATCACATGGGTACTTTATACCAATTTTTATACATATCAGCAAATATATACATGAGTAGTGAGTGTGGGCATACAAGATTTTTTGTTGGTTTTTTTTGGGGGTTTTCTTGGAGAGGTTTTTGCTATAGGGTGCATGCGTTTCCCAGAAAGACAGAGACAGAGAGACAGAAAGTGAGAAATCACCCCCCCAGGGGAGATGGCCATGCTGCAGTCCCTTCTCCTCCTTTCTCCTCTCGGGATCTTGGGCACGCACGCACACGCACCTGGTGAGAGTTTAAGACACTGAGTCTGGGAATCAAACCGTGGTCAACTACATGGGAGTCCAGTGACATAGCCATTGTGCCAACTGCAGGTCCCAAAAGATGTGTTTTTATCTTACTCTTGGATTAAGAAAAACATGACAAAATTATTTTTTTAAGAATTGTTTATTTAATTTTATTTATTATATTTAAATTTGCTATACAGCATATATGCTTTTCAGAGAGAGAGAGCGAGAGAGAGAGGGAAAGTGAGAAAACAAGCAACCAAGTCTGGGATTTAAACTGCAGTCTGCCATGTAGGAGTCCAGCGCCTTTCTACCACACCACCTGCTGGCCCTGACAAAACGTATTTTTAGATATAAAATATTTTGTTACTGCCTCTGTGTGTGTGTGTAAAATTGTGTTTCTATTGCTTCTAACCAACTGGTTGTAAAAGTACAGAGTATATATAATTGTCTGTGTATTTAAGCTCTCTCTACATAATCCTGTGAAGTCAAACTCATTCTAAA